TAGACCAAGATAACAAGGTGAAACAAGATGACAAATCTGATATTAAGGTTGATTTGGACAAAAAGAAAAGTGTGAAAGATGAAAAGACTGAATCCATGGGCATGGATAATGACAATATCAGATTTAATTCTTTGTCAAAAATTGACCCCCCTACTACTTTTAGAAACATAGATAGTAAATCTATTATGAATCTGGATATAGAAACCAAGATTGAAGAAAATATTGACAAAAAGTCAGAAATTGTTGCTGAAAGAAAACGGTCTGGAGAAAGTCCAAACACTGAAAGCCAGGCACCACCAAAACGATCTAGATTAGACATCATGATTGGTAAATTAGGTAGTCAGATTGGTATAGCTCCTGAATCTGTGCCAGATCCAATAGATTGTGACACTCTATCTGACTCAGAAACAGAATCTAAAGAAGGTAGTGAGGATGCTAAGTCAGAAGATGAAGAATCAAAATCCATGATGGAAGATGATGATGCAAAGACAATATATGAAGAGATGAAGAAGAAAGACTGTTTAGAAGATTCTACAGATGGAGCAACAGTAAAAGAAAAGGCAAGCACAGTGAAGACAGTCAAAGATGAGAAAGATAAACAAGAAGCTAGAAAAGAGATGATAAAAGAATCTGAACCTGCAATATCAGAACCAAAGAAGATTGAATCTTTAAAAGAGCCAGAAGAAGTGAACTATTCAGCTACCACTATCAGCGATGATGAAGATGATGATGTAAAAGTTATTGAGGAGCCAATAAAATCATCTGATACCATTCAGTCACTTAAGAACCAAGATATATCATATGACTCGGTAAGATTGTTTTCGTAATATTAATTGACATTAATTAAATATTTTTTGCTTTATTATTTTTTTGTAATCAAGGAGTAAACAGCTAAAGATGCCTGGTCCTGCTCTAAGTCAAACACTAGCAAATAACACAGAGAACTTTGTTTGGCATAATTGTAGCTGACTGTGCTGCTTGTTTTTGAGGTTCTGAAGTACAGTCAGAGTGTTGGTTCTTTACATGCTGTGGATTCTAATCCTGTGTTATAGTCATCTTCACTCATAATTCCAGTCGACCAAGTGTATTGATAATCCAGGAAAAATCAATGCCAAAATGTTTGGCAAAGGACCAGCTGGTGGAAAGGATCCATAATTGTGAACCTAATTTGTTATCCTTGTAAAATATATATGTTATTTTCTCTTTCTTTCTCTATATTTATTAAGATCACAAATAATCTATTTATAACTTATTTTATGTATGGTAATAGGAAGTAAATCTAGACCAAGTCATCAGAAAGAGAGTGTTGCAACTAATAAAATCTTATAGAGATGAAACTATAGCAGCTTTACAAACCAAAGTTAATTTTTTAACAAAAACAACCGAACAATGGAAGAACACTTCTAAAGAATTACAAAAACAAGTGGTAGATTTAACTATAGTACAACAACGATTAGATAAACGTAAAGCTGCTACTGCTGCCCTCAAGGTATTTTTTACTTTAGATTAGTAAAGTCCATATGAACAATCTTGTCTAAATGAAAATATCAATCCTTATTCCTTTTCAATAGCTGTCTTCCAAAAAAGCTTGAATATACTATGTAACATAACTAGGGATACTATAGGTCTAAACAACACTTTGTCATTTAAGTTGTTTACTCTACATGTATTCTATCATTTAAGAGTATAACAAGTCGCTCCATAGGATGTCAAGTCGATACCACTAAAGTAAGTACAAGTTACAATGTCCCATACTATCTCATTGCATTTCATTTACATCTTTATGTAAGGTACACAATGTAGACAGTAGATTTGTGAAATAGAAGGATGTCAAAGAACAGATACTTGCAGCATACATTTTTTAGAATTTGTTTGATGTGATCTGGTTATTGTAGCAGTTGAATTTATTTCTTCAAACACATTCAATTTCAAGGTTGTTTTTATACACCCACATGAATTGGGGGGCAAATATGGTTGTCACCCTTGTCCGTCCGTCTATTGGTCTGTCAGTCCGTTTGTCCACAATTGCTTGTAAATACTCTACAAGACACAATTCTTAACTGATTTCGACAAAACTTGGTTTGGTTGTTTGTTATCACCCAAGGATGAACCCTTTTTAAAATCAGAAAGATCAAAAAATAATAAGTAGGCCTATGAGTTATTGTTCGCGTTCAATTTTAGCTTGTAAACACTCTAGTAGGCACAATTCTGGACGGATTTTGACGAAACTTGGTGTGTGTGTGTGTGTAATCATAAGGATAAACCCCACTAAAAATCAGAAAAATTAAAAAATATTAAGTATGAGTTATTGCCCTTGTTCTTGAAACTGCATTCAATTTTTAGCTCGTAAACATTCCAGAAGGCACAAATTTAGACGGATTTTGATCAAACTTGGTATAAGTGTTAGTAATCACCCAAGGATGAATCCTATTGAAAATCACAATAATCGAAAAATAATTAGTATAAGTTATTGCCCTTGTTTTTGAAAACACGTTCAATTTTTAGCTCATAAACGCTTTAGATGGTTCAATTATTGACAGATTTTGGCGAAACTTGTTGCGAGTGTTTGTTGTCATCTAAGGATGAACCCTAACGAAAGTCAGAAAAATCAAAAAATATTATTGCAGTTGTTCTTAAAAATGCGTTTAAGTTTTAGTCTGTAAACACTCTACAAGGTTCAATTCTTGACAGATTTTGATGAAACTTGGATATTATTCAGTATCACCTAAAAAAGTTCAAAAGAAGTTTATAACTGAAGGTTGAATATTTCATATATCATATTGTTACTGTACTGCCAAATATTTTATTTTAAAAATGGGCGTATATTACCTTGCCTGGCAAGCTATCTTTTAGCAAGAAGGCACAATTCTTGACAGATTGAAGAAACCTGGTCAGTGGTCAAATTTATTTCATACTGGAGATTGATACTGTTCTGCCAAATACTCATAAGCCTATGTCCACTGTAAAATAAAATCTATGAAATATTTGTCTAAAACATAATAATTTTTCCAAGCTACAAAATGGAAGTGATATGCTTAAATCTCCACCTAAACCTGTTAAATATACATCATATACTACTGTACCTCCCAATACTGGTCAAAATATGGTTTCTATGATAAAACAACAACCACGTCCAACACCATCAGTTACTACTCCTGTTGTAAATAACATGTCTCAGGTAAGCTTTTAACTCATAGAAAGTCTGTGATTAAAATTATAAACTATGTAAGGATTGGTACATACCTCCATAAAGAAAGGGAATTCTGAAATAATTTTGTGTATGTTTTGTTGTTGAATAGGAATTTTTCATGAATGGATATGCAATCCAAGACCTACAATGATATTTTACAGTACAAATTTCAATTTTAACAGTAAAATGTTAATCTACCAGTGGTTTTAGTTTTAACTTTAAAGGCAATTCTTGTTATTTTTGTTCTTGAAACAATTCATGACTCATTAAGAATTCAAAAGTAATTTGAATGACTTAGTTGTCTAATTTTTAAAATATCTTTTTTAGTTATTATCAGCGACAGCAGAATCAAGAAATACCAACATAAATAATGTAAGACAGGGAGCTGGTGTGAGTTCTGTAAGAAATCTACTAGAAACAACAGGACGTGCCAATATTACTCAAACTTCTTTGAGCACTTCTGCTAAGAATGTGTCATATTCAGGAAAAGTGATTGACTTAACTGCTGATGAAGAAAATACAAAAAAACTTTCCAATTCTCAGGTTAAACCTCCAATTATGGTACCAGTGTCGAATATACCTATAGGTTCAAGTCAATTGCCGGGTCTTCCTCCTGGTGCTTCAATTTTACTCAGTGGACCTTCTGGTACTCAAATAGTGAACCATCAATTTAACAAAATGAGTGGTGCATTACAAGTAGTGACAGTAAGTTCTGGAAGTCAGATACGACCTGGACAATTTTTAACAGTCTTGCCATCAACTGCTGTAACTAGTGGTAATATACGACCACAACCTGTTACCATGACAACAACAGTTCCCTCAGTTACCTCAATCGGTACAACGCCTGTCCGTCAAGCGCCACCTACCAGTACACCTGCACCCACAGTCAAAAAGGTAAGTAAAGGATATGTAGTGAAATAGTTATTTACATTGTTCAATAAAATACATGCATAATTGTTTTATCTAAGTCTTCAAAAATAGATCAGATAAAATCTGTATCATTGAATTTACAGAATGCTTTCTTGGCTTTTGCCAACTTCAATTCAATAATTCACATTGAGTCTGTTTTAGAATTAATGTTTGTTTTTTACTAAATCCTTGTTACACAAACGCAATAGATTTATATTGAGTCTAAGACCAAGGAAGCAAAAAATATGTTACAGTGGCCATTGCTTTTGTAAAAACTATGTCACACATTGCGTACATTTTATTGGAAATTGTCAAATGAGTAAACATTTTGATATATTTTAGACATTAGCATCTAATCATCCAGCCCCCCTACCCCCACAACCTATCAATAGAACACCTAATGGTGGTGTGAAAGGACTAGTACCACCTAAACCAGATCTAAAAATATCTCGAGTTAGTCAGGGTAAGAAAATATGTACATAAATTAAAGTTTACGGATTCACAGCTTTTATTTGAAAAAGGTGAAATTAATTCACAAAATAAGCAATAGACTCATAGATTGCTTTACAATGGCAGGAAAGATTTTGTGACAGAAAAAGTGCAAAGTTTGATTTATGTCATGGGAGGGGAGATAAATCATTCTCTTGGCAAACCTAATTCTTTTCTGCGATTTTGTCAATTCCAACTTCATAGCTAATATTGCTTGTTCGGTATAGGCCAATGACTGTTTGTGGGCAAACATTCCTGGAGGTCATCCTATTGGCTTTAAGGTCTTGAGTCCCTATACATTATATTGGTTTGTTCCAGTGCTATATTCTTTATGGCATGTATAGTTTCTATTACAATCTTTTTAACTTAAACACGGTAGTCATGAAAAAGTTTGTCCATCTTTACATCAAGTCTAAAACTGATCATGTTTATTGTAGGTATTGTTCTATCATGGACTATCACACAAAATTTAAGTTTATATTCTGAAATAGCTTCATATCAACTGTTTGCTTATCAAGAAGGTTCAACACCACCACACTCAAATCTGTGGAAAAAGGTATGTTTTATATCTAATGTTTAGGCATCTCCTCCTCAGGAATAAAAATATTTTTTTCCACTTTGTAGACAAATAAGAGGCATACATGTTCATCAAAATATTTAGCGATAAGAATAAGGCATATTACTTTTACCTCTCTTATTATATAAATACTATATTTTTTATAGGTTGGAGATGTAAAAGCCTTACCCTTACCAATGGCTTGCACATTAACACAGTTTCAAGAAGGAAATAAATACCATTTTGCTGTTCGTGCTATAGATGTTTATCAAAGAATCAGTGATTTTAGTGAACCAAGCTCTATTCATCTATTTGCTCTGTAATTTGTGTCCCTACTCATTTCTATGAAGCTTATGTTTGTCATCATATATTCAAGGACCAAAGAAGGCATTTAGGTATTATCGTTTTCAGTTAGAGTTACTTTATCATTATGAACAAATCAGTTATTTAAAGGACAACAGTCCGGAAATTTCATCATAGTGTAAGATATTATTTTGGGTCTAAATCTTCAATTGTAAAGTTTTCATGGAGAGTACACCAGCAAAACATATTGCCATTGAATATGGGACAGCAATGGTTGTTGAAGGTTATTTTATTACTTATGTTAAATGTCTAAACGGTTTTCTGAAATTATAGAGGTTGATTTTAACAAAAAATCAAGAATTGTAATTTTATGATATTATTTGCTTCATTTCATGAGATTGGTGCATTAAGTTACTGTCATAATCATATAATTGCAGTGAAATGCTTGGCCGGTAAAAAGTCATAAAAGGGCATTATTCCATTATGATTCATGATGTGTTTCTAGTTCAGTATATGTTTCAAGTTCATGTTGAAAATGTTTCAAAAGTTATGTGCTATTATTTTTGTTGAAATGTGTATTTGTTGTACATTATTGAACACATATTATTCAAGTAAATTAACAATTTTTATAATGTTCATGTATGCTCATTGTGTGAGGTAAACTCTCTTATATGTATGTCAGCTGGGATAACAGACATCGTACATGAAAGACACACTGAATATGTTCATCAAAACAAGACTGTAGTCAGTAAATTATAGATAAGACAATTTTGTCTATTGTCTTAAAAACTCCATCACCACTACCCCACACAATGCTTTACTTATTCAGTGATTCATGTAATACTGAAACTAGTTCCACAAGCAAACTGTCCAGAACAATTAAACCTTTCTCTGTAGCTCGTAAACCTCTGTAAAGATAAAAGAACACAAGATCTTTTGAAATATCTTACATGCAAGGACATTTGTAGGCATATGAATCTTTTACATAAATTTTAATATCAACAAATAAATGTTTTAATGAAGGGACGTAATTATTCACTAAATTACTAAAATTACCCTTTAAAATAGTCTACACTACTGAATTAATTTATAGCAGTTTAATAACACACCAATACTGGTAAGACAATTAAAAAACTTCATAATAATTAAGCTCTAAAATTATAAATATTGTCTCTATTGTTGATTGTCAAAGAAAATATCTTCTGAACCACCTTATGACAACCTGTGATTAAGTATGTTAACTTTGCATGATTACTCTATATATTACCTTTTATCTAAGATTAATAAATCTGAAGATTGTAGCAGATTGATAGTATCTGATGATCCAAACAATTTACTTAAACCAATAGGATTCACTTTCCTCCAGTTCTATAATGAATTTCAATTGAATTTGTTATTCAACAATGTGACACATTTCCATTTTTCATGGCATCAAAATCAGCATTCAATAGCAGACCACAATAGATCATCCCCTTATGTGAACCAACAAGTTAAAAAACTATTTCATATCTTATAAGTTTTACTTACTGGATGTGATATTCCCCATTTTGTTCTTAAACTACTTGAAAGTGTCTCTACACACCTAGAATTAAAACATTACAAATTTTACCATATATCTCTGTTGTGAGGTCTAAGTCCAGTTATCTTCAGAGACGTTTTTGTAGGCCAATTCTATATGATAGACAAGCTATTTTGTGCATTTATGAGCCAAGAAGTTTAGGCTAATTGGTACATATGTGAGAAAGTTTACCTGAACTGATAATCATCCTAATCGTCCCAGGGGGTTGTTAAGCGATTAGATGGTGTCATGTGGAAGTTCACCAATAATAATAATCAAAATTATTGACTAATTGATCCTGAAGATTATGTATTATAAATTTCAATAAATAATATTAAATTATACCTATCATAAATACCCTGTTTAACACTTCTTGTAGTACCATGACCATATTTCTCTACTGCGTACATCCAGTTATATGGTTCTAATGTTTGAGTTCTAGCCTCCCTTATATATTTTCCATTATCTTTAACTGTTAATCTACCATGAGCTCCTAGTGACAAAAAAATATACCAACGATAAAAAGATATTTCTGAGGGCACAGGGTCAGCTGATGGTAAAGAAAGTTTCAATCAGGTTTAATTTGCTTGAGCGCCAACCTTGAATTTCTCAGACCTTATCCACTAAACCATTAGAGGTAAATATTGAGGTTGCTAAAATAACATACCTGGACCAATACCTATATAATCACCTCCAGTCCAATATGTTAAATTATGGTGACTGTAACACGCCTGAAAATATATCATATAGATAGAGAAAATAACCTCAAAAAAATACACCTCACTTGGTAACAGATCTGTAGATAAAAAAAAGTTGGATCTGGAAAAAAGTTACTTTCATTAATATCATTCAGTTCCAGCGTTTTTTGTATGTAAATCAAAATGTTGGGAAGTTACTTTGTTTCCATGAGCTGAATATTGAAAGGAACGTGAAGTTATGAGCTGAGCCATGTATACTTACATCTTTTGCATAGTTAGAAACTTCATAATGCTCAAAACCTCTTCCTTCCAATAACTAAAAATAGAACAAAGGTAGTTATGTGTTTAAGATAGTAATCACCGAATGATTTGAAATAACAATTACTATGGTACAAATGAATAAGTTAATGAACCCAAATACTTAATAGGCGTGCCAAAAATATTGTTGCCATAGGTCCGAACAATGTACGGTATATACACATAGAGAGGTGTTAAACAGATAGAAATAAATAGTTACCTTTACAGCACATTTATATAGATTAGCCATTTCATTATTAGATGGTAATAGCTAAAACAAAGACATTCAGCTAAATTACATTACATTACAACTGCAATTAAATTTTCTTATAGTAATATAAGATTCTAACACGAAAAAAGTATTGGTGAAAAAAGGCAGTAAAACTCTTCAATATTCATCAAATTTAAGACATTAAGACCATATAAAATGTGATACATACCACTTTATCTGATTTAACTTGTTTATATAGTTCAGTACCACGTTCTACAGTTAACTGATACAAAGATATATGGTTGTCACAAACTGATAGTAACTGAAAGTACAGAAAATAGTATTAGAAGTATAAATTTCATTATAGCAATAACTAAATGATGAATAGATCTCATTTTAAACTGGAGTGGAAAATTTCATTGTGCTCATAAACTAATTCTTTTGCAGAAAATAATACGGATCATGGTTAAAATTGAAATTTTCTGTAATGTCATTACAACAATTAAAAGAATTCAACATTAATATAAGCATACAAAGTTACAAAGAAATCTATCACATCCTCATGCCTAAAATTCACCATGCAGATAAAGATAAAGTCTAGCTACTAAGACACAATAAAAGATAGAACTAACAAACCTGTTCCAGTTCTTCAACCCATTGTGCCATTGTTTGATTTGGTCGACCAAACATTATGTCAACAGATACTTGTCCTGGTAGTAAGGATCTTGCTTCTGATAAACACCTAGAAAATCAGAAGACATAGTTGTCTACAAGTTGTCATTCCTTACACTACAACAAGTAAGTAAGTAAATCAGGAATATCTATTCAGTATTAAGCATCTAATTCTCACAAAATCATACTCCTTTATTTTAAATCCAAAATGGTTGCACAATGATAAAATTTTATTGAAAGCTTAACAGTCAAGATTAAATAAAAAAATTGACTATTTATAGGTAATGGAAAATGTAGAAACCATACCTCAAACCATCCTCAACACTGTGATCTCTTCCCAGAAATATCAAATCTCTTAAATTTAAACTCTGCAAATATATTGATAAGTCATCAGTTTCATATAATTTATATATAATAGCATTTATATCTTATTAGATCTATTCCAAAAAGACCAAAAATATCAAAAAATATAAAATTGGAAAAATAGCTGACCTGTAATCCAATTGACATTCTATTGATACCAGCATCTTTAAACTCTCTACAATTAATAGTAATTAAAAACAATCAACAATACTGTAAGATCAGTGACAGTTATGAATATTTGGGTGAGGAGGGCAAGAAGGAGCCACAGCATCGTTAATAGGGGCTCAAAGTCAATTATTTCAGTTATGTAGTGATAAAAAGCTTCTTTTCTGGGGGAACCTGACATTATTGCTATTGTCAGGAAATCTGTAGGACAGGGGTTTTTTCAATTTTTTCTTTATCTTTATACTCACTTCAACTTCTTAGCCTCTATTTCTGTAGGGTTGACTTCTATAGTTATTTCAGCTGAAGAAGTTAGGTTCCCAACACTTTTGGCTTTTTCTATTACACTATTTATAGTGTTTGGACTAGCTAGACTTGGTGTGCCTATCAATTATCACACAAATGCTAACATAAGGGAAGTACTGTATATATTATAACAAAATGTATTTTCCTTTTTTTATTTTCTAACAATATGCAATAATTGTCATGTTCAAAAACCTGTTTTCCCAATTGGTGACTCCAGGACTCCATTTTTGAAAAAACAATCTACTGAACTTATGTCATGCACAATTTGGAAGACATATCCAGTCCATATCAATTGAGTTATTGGATGAATTTTTGTTATTTGGATGGGTTTTTCAATTATACCAATGAATTGATTTGATAATTTGATAAATATCACCAAGGTTATCAATCGTTATTTAATCATTATAGCGTTTTAATTGAACATACAAAGTTAACTTAAAGACATGTTATTTAAATACTAAACTTAAACTATCCATCACAAAAACACCAATGAACTATATAGACCTAATACATAAAAGATTTATTATATTGAAAACAATTCTATTAACTATAATAACTTTTATCAACCTACCTCCACCAAAAAATAACGTTGTTATGTTTTCAACACAACTTTTATGTACCAAAGTCTCTAATTCTTGAATCAAACATTTTTTCATTCTTTCTTCATCAACTTCTTTACTGTCAACAATAAATAATATGTTATTTATTGCAATCTTAAATTCAAATTAGAATATTATGTTTACAGAAAACAAATAATATAACTATCAGTACTCACCATATATATTTATTATAATTACAATATGGACATCTTCTCTTGCAGTATGGCCACTGAAATAATTTTTTTAAAAAAATGCCATTTAGTAGAAGTTCAGACATCCACAAAATCTATCATTGGGTTTAAGTTTCTGCATACTTTTTAATTAACACAAGGATAACATTAAATTTGAATTGTATGATGTATTAAACTTGAACGGATTGTAAAGAGACTTTTAAAAAAAAAATTATGTGTATCTGAGACACTGATAACATAGATTTGCAACATTCCATTTTGAAATTCTACTAAAACTATCACTATCACAAAAGCTACTAATAGTCATAATATCTAAGGGCCTTTGCAATAGTGATGTCATAAAATTCTTAGTTTTAGTGAAACTGGGCAATAACCACATGCAATTATTTATCTGAAAATCATCACAAATACTTTATCACTTACATGAACATAGAGAGCAGCATTTTGATCTCCTTCAGCTTTTGGAACTGTGTCAATGTGGTATAAGGTCTTATATCTAACACTTTTATACCATTGATTTATAACGCTTCTTTTCACAGCTCTTAAACTAAGCATTTTACTGGAACTTTAGCATACACTATCTAATGTGATCCACTAGGCCGGTCAACTAAATATGAACAAGGTTATGTGACTATTTAGGCCAGTATATTTCAAATACCGGTAAGATCAAAATTTTGTCCAATACTAATTAGACTCTGTGTAAGCCTACTGTTTTTTCACTTTCATTGAAAAAAAAACAATTGTACAAATGTCCAATGTGAATTTAATATCAGCTTCAAAATAGTATTGAAGTCTTACAATAACTCTGCATTGACAAAAATATCAAAATGGGCACATACTATTGCTTTGAACGTTGTTGTTTTGTTTGCATAGAGCAATTTCTGCCAAAATTTTGAACCTAGAAAATTTTCACAGGCAGTCAGGAAAGTAAATTTTCTAGCATGGCATACATATACTTTACTTATATATGTACATATATAGTGGTGTAACCTATATTCATGCATATAAGGATTCAACACCGAATTTCGTCAAAATTAAAAAACGCACATTTTTTTTTTATGTCTTTGATGTTTCCTCAGATATTCTATAAAATAATTAAAATTGTTTTTCTTCGATTTTCTTTATGAATATCTCACCTTGACCCATATTTCATGAGCAATCAACTCTGCCAAATGCTTCACCTATTTTCGTGTACAATGTTTGATCTATAATTAAGTCAGGAAAAACATGTATTACAGTGGTGTAACCTATTTTCGTGGATATAAGGATTCAACACCGAATTTCGTCAAAGATAAAAAAAAATTTTTTTATGTCTTAGATGTTTCCTCAGATATTCTACAAAATAATTAAAACTAGATCCACAGGCTTCGCGAGGTTCTGATGCAGTGCGTAACAGTTTTGATTTTACGCTTAAAACTGTACCGCAAAGTATCGTAACATAATTAACTGGATATAGATCGCCCAAACGCAAAGCATATTCGACAGATCGCTTCAACTCACATTGCATTCAACAACAGTTGAAGGGAGCAAACTACCTTTATCGTTTAGACCACAAAAAAAACTTACAAGCGGAAAACCGACAAAATCGGAAGTAAACACCGTACAATAAACGTTAATATACCATTGGAAAGATCTCGTCGAAAGCTATCAAAATTGTTCTGGTCACATGATCACCAAAGGTCAAGGTCACAATATACGACCCTTTAAAGTATTCATATTTTTCAACCGGAAATAAATAAAAAGCAAAATCAAAATTCAAAAATCGGTTCTCAAATATTATTTAGCAATCGATATTAGATACCATAAATATCAAATTTACACAAATTGGATTACACCCTGAGGCCTCATTTCCATATATTGAAAATTACGCACAGTTACTATAGAAGAAAGTACAAAATTTTTAAATATTAAAAAGCGCAATTTTGATTGAAATATCTAGTGTTATATATCATTACAAAGGGCAGATGAACACTAGTAAGATTCAATAAGAATTTTTGGTGTATGTAAATTAGGTCACATGTCAGAGCTCTTTGAAGATAAAAATCGTAATTTTCAATCCGCTATAAAACCGGAAGTAAACATTGCACAGCACAAATGAGCATATCACTGGATAGATATCATCAAGAGCAACAAATTTTGTTCAGGCCACAAGGTAACCAAAGCCTTTGAAGTTTTGGACATTACCGAAGAAATTTAACCGGAAATAAAAGAAAAGATTTATTTTCGCAATCGATTGTGATATCCAGATATACCAAAATTATGAAAAGGGGCTCAATACCCTGAGGCCCCATTTTGAATTTTACAGAAGTTTGACATATCAATATGGCGGCTACTCTGTTTTTTGATTTGAAGTTTTTTGTATGGCTATTTGTAACATATTGCAAAAAGAATTTTTGAAATATCTTCAAAATTCCGGAAGTTGAATTTTATATTTTAGAAGCGAATAGCATCAAAACCGGAAGTGATATCAAAATTTTGAAAATTAGTTTATATTCGCAATGAAAGTGTCTATCACTCTGTAAGTTTTCAGATTGATCGAAATAGAATTGCAGAAGTTAGAAAAAAGGTTAAAAAACTCAAAAATTGGAACTCAAAAAGTCAGCGACAAAAGTCAAAATTGTCAATTTTTTCAATTGCTATCTTGTAGTCATTAGCGCGTAGTAATAAACAGTAAAGTTTGAGCAAATTCAGCATATAATAAAGCTGATTAATGGAAAAAATTGAAAAAGAGCCATTGTCCACGGCTCATTTCCGGTTGGTCAAAATGGTGCCAATTTACATTTAAAAAATAATTGTCCACTATTTTGACCAGAAAACAACAACAGACAGTCTGTGGCATGTTGCCTTCTTAGAAAACAAACATTTGCAAAACAAAGCAAAGAACGCACTGCAAAAAAAATAGTCATTTGCAAAACAACGCACTGCAATTGGTTTATTTCGATTTCCTTTATGAATCCTTCACTTTGACCCATATTTCATGAGCAACCAACTCAGCAACGGCGGCAAAATGCTTCACCTATTTTCGTGTACAATGTTTGATTTATAATTAAGTCAAGAAAAACATGTTGTATGGATACCCAGTATTATAATTAAATTCTCTTAGACGATTCCTTAAACGAAATTGGTAATAATTGAAATCAGCCATTTTTTATTTGTCAAAGTAAACATCAATACATTTTACCATGCTTGAAACTACTGGATTCATTCTACTAGCTGACATTAACCCATGTTTATCAAAACAAGCAAATACAGAGGTCACACATGTAAATTATTAATCATTTCCGGAGATGCACGAAAAATAGGTTAGCACGAAATTAGGTTACATGACTGTACACAAAATGATGAGTGATGTTAAAAGATTAAAATCGATGTTCTAATTGACAAAATTTGTTCGGTATTCAATTACTCTCTACTCCACTACAATGATTTCTGAATTTAATTTTGCCAATCATTTTGGAATTTGACTACAAAATACTACTGAGAGTCTTTGGGTTGATGAAAATGTTAACCAATGGAAAAATTATTATTTGTAAACATGATTTTACAGAGTGAAATTTTCGAAAAGTAGGTCATTCAAGTGAATTTAAAATTGTAAAATCACTGAGCCTTATAATTCTATGGACATGAAGACATTTATTGACAAATGGCATACAATTGAACATTTTCTTTTAAATATTTATGAAATGAGAGAAGAAATTCAATTCAGTCTCAGAGCTCAATCAATATAGTAACTAGTAAGGGAGTAGGTCTATTTTATTTACAAAATGGTCCGACTTTGTTTCGGTCGGATTTCTGTGCCAATATTTTCATCAATTTTCACAAATATTCATTAACGTTTGGATTGTCTGTTACTACCAATATACAATGACAACTTTCCACAATAAGGATTCTCAAAGTCTATTCATCTATCTTCGCAGTTTTGTTTACTTTTTTCTCCACACGGAGTTACTTCCCTTGAAAAATGGAACCAGACCACCAATATAACTCATTGATAGATGTATAATAATGATCAGAACATAGATATATCTTGGATTTATAACTCTATGGATATATCCTATCATATATAAGGATCAGAACATAAGAATTATATCTCCTATAGGATGGGGTCTGGGGCCAATTCGTCATAATTGGTACTCACGATTGTTGATTAAAAGAAATCTACCGACCAAGCTAACGGCTTCGTTCCATTTGGGTATAGGTGATCATAATTTGATCAGATCTGTTTAACTTAAATATCTTTTTAGTGTGTTACCGTTTTGGCAGATCTGTTACCGTTTTGACTTGTTACTGTTATAACTGGTATTCTGCCCACAGTGGTCTTCAGAATTTAGATGGGTTGAGATGAATTTTGAGCATTACTACCATAGGCAGGTGGCAGTTTTCGTTCAGCTATAGAGCGCTAGCGGAACTTTCACGGAAGACCCAACTCTCTCATTATTATTCGACAATCCTCGAAGAATGAAGAAGCTGAATCTGCCTCGAAAATAAATGGTAGCCTAGATTTCGTTAAATCATCTGGGTTGAAACTCTTTGCTTCTGGCTTTTGTCAATGATATGTCAAGTGATCTGTGTGGTGCCAATATAGCTTTATTCATTTAAACGACTGTCATTCATTACCGTGATTATATGTTGCAGAACAAGCGGAACTTTCGCGATAGATGGCGTCTCTCAAAAGGCGGTGATAGGGCCTATCAAATTTTCATTTTCTTTCAAATAAGAAAAATACATGTAGCGTACATGAAGGCTTAGTTAGTTTAAGTCTAATATTTATAACCTTTATATAAAATATCGACCGATTTTGTCTGGCGTAGTGATATCACTGAAGTCGTTTTAGCCTAACCATGTCCGTTTCTTTGCCTAACATTATAAAATGTTTGATGATTCCGTAAGTTTATGTAGGCCCTATAGCAAGTAAGCCATTTTCCCAATAACACAGAAATATAACGAGCAAAATTTACCTTTTCAATTGCCCTTTTTTGGATGAGAGAGCAAGGGTTTGTGTGAGTGCTGACAGAGGTTTCCATTTCAAATTTGATATGTATATTAAATGAAATGTCATTACCATAAGTATCATTTTACACAAAAATAAATAAATTGCGACGATTTGTAGCGGTCTGTTTTCTGATTTGTCAATGTGACGTATCACTCGATGACTGCTGTTCCGGATCTCGATCTGACACGATCACTACGATATATCTTGGAAATCGTGTTAACGTCGTTTTACACTCTTCTCTAAAAGGGTATTTCGGGCAGGATGTATAACATCCTCTTCAACATTTATCAGATTTTGAGTGTTTCTCTCATGCGTCAAGCAAGGCTGTACACTTAGCCCATGGCTCAATGGTATGTATACTAATGAACTGGTACTTCAAATCTAAATGCTATTCTGGCATGTTCAAGCAATTCGTGACATTTTCCTTTTGTTGTTTGCGGATGACTGATCGTTAGTGGTAGACTCTGAAGATGGTTTACAGGATAGACTTATTGTTTTAGATGAATACTTCCTAAAATGGAACATGAAAGTGAATCTCGAGAAAACAAAAGTAATGGTATTCAAGAATGGTGGTGTGCTGTCAAAACGGTAGAAATGGTATTATAGGGGGAAGTTTTCAGTCATTATAAATACCTAGATGTGTTTTTTTTTCTTACAGACTGAATTGTTGCAAAAATCTAATACTTCAGGCAATAAGGCACTCAACTGCATTAAGGCTTGATTAGTGAAACTTGAGCAAAGAAATGTTAAAATGACTTTTAAATTATCAGACTATGGTGGTACCTATACTGAACTATAGTGCAGAGGTGTGGGGCACTATGTTTAAACCTGGCATAGAGAATGTCCAGAATAAATTCTGTAAGTGACTTCTCTGCACTGGAACCAAAACAACAAATTCGATAGCGATAGCAGAATGTGGAAGACTTGAGCTCTGTACAAATTATTACTAAAAACCCGTTTCATACTCCTTAAGAATTCAAAATATGCATAAAGCTAGGTTACCTAAACTATGGTTTCGAACGTTATTTGAACAAGGCATAAATGGAAGCTCAAACTGGTGCACATCAATCAAATCAATATTGTTTAATTATGGATTTGATCATGTCTGGCTAAACCAGGGAGTAGGTGATATTCCACAGTTTTTATCCTGCTTCAAACAACGTCTAAGAGATATCAATTTACAGACTTGGAATACCCTAGTTTCAAACTCTACATTTATTGTAAGAATTATCTCAATAGTCCTCTGTCGCATAAGCTGCGCTTTTATTTGGCTAATTTGCGATGCTCAACGCACCTTCTCTACATCGAACAAGGTCGACGTTCAAAAATCCCCACAGAACAACGAATTTGAAGAATAGCAATCAAGTTGAAGATGAGATGCATTTCATCCTGTACTGTCCGATTCTTGCAGATCTCAGACGAAATTTTCTACCGTCCTGGTTTGATAATATTATCCCAACGAAAGAGGTTAGAAAAGGTTATCTTATTATATCAGTGTGACGAACCCTTTATTACACGCTCATTATCACTGATATAATTAAGGCGATGAAAATTTTAAAAATCTGTTATAATCACAGGTTAATCTAATTGAATAATTTTATTGTCATTGTATTTATTGTACATTGTATTTATATTGTGTAGATTTATTTTGTATATACGTATGTTTATAATACTGTAGGCTAAAGCCTTATAGTTCTGAATAAATGAATTGAATTGAATTAAATAGAATCGTTTGAAACGATTCAAAAATTTTATAACACGATCAATTAATTGTCGATTCTATATCAACTTCAAGCGACCCGTAATATGACTTATCAGACAAGACAACTGTTAGGTTGTCGTGCGATCCGATTTGCCATTTGTAGCAGATCCCCATAGATACGAAAACATACGTGTCGATTACTTTGATGTTTGGTGTTTTTCTTGTCTTTCCTACCATCTCGATCATTGCGATTTTTAGGCACGATTAGATCAGTCGCGCTATATTACGAGTCACGATGTAATACGATCTTATACCCATGATCCCTTTTGATCGAGTTGAGTTTAGGAAAAATGTGAATTGTTTCTACTATTTAAACGATTACCAAACTATCTGGTGATTCTAATTGTGATGCTAAGCGTGATAGTGGGAACCTAGCATTACCTGTAACTCACTGTCCTATGTTAAAACGTTTTGACTGGTGTGCTTGTGAGACAATGCTTTGTGGTGCAGAGGATAAGGGGGTTATTATTATTTCAATATCAATGTTGACGTTTTACACTTTAAGACAAAGAATTACAAATCAAAAAGAACTGTACATATGTTATATTGAAAATTATATAAGTTTGCAGGGTCGTAACTAGGGTCTTTGGTCTATGAGGCAAAAATCCTGTTGTCTTTTGAGACAGTTATGTTTTCATAGCAACGCTTCCGATAGATTTCAAACAGTACCCACTTTCACTGTAAATAACCAATAGGCGATATCTTTAGTGGATATCATATTTGTATTTATAATTTTTTTTAAAAATCTATTCTTGTCAAATTCTGCAAGAGGCAGCTGCCTCATTTGCCCTGATGTAGTTACGACCCTGGTTTGAATACATCATTTAAAGAGATATACAATCAAAAAGCATTCGAGCTTTATTCAGATTTACGGAAACCCAAGAATACCTTAACGCAAATTGATTTTGCCATTTTAATGCTTCCATCATTCAAGTTTGTTGCCCTATTCTGGCTATACGCCTATCTCGATGCAATTCAACCAGAGGCAGATTGATGATATTATTACACTAGCAAAGCGCTTGAAGGTTGTAGCTTTCGATTTCACCCTGTATGTATTGTGGTCGTTAACGTTGTCCTAGCAAGTCTCCACCCGAGACACAAAGTCATTATTTTAGACCTGCTTCACTGACAGGCAAAATCCGTTCAGAACCAAATATTTATCTGAGAGGATTGAACGACCGAGCATTCTGGCTTTGGGAAAAGAGCGCTGAGTATCGCTGATTATTCACCACTGAATTATGAAATTCATTTTATTCTCAAATAATTTTGTGTTTGTCATTGAATGACTTGGGGTTCATAGAAAAATACGCAAAATTACTAATGTATTTGAATGAAAATCTTCAGAGACAAATTTTTCAAATCAATTGATTATCTTTAATTTTTTTTTAAGTGGTTACGATTATCAATTATGCCCCTTTTACCACACGTATTTACCATGACATGTGCAAAGAGGGTGTAACGTATAATACCCAAGATATAATATGATTATATGCATGAATGTAAAGTATAATTATATAATATATAATATTGTGTATCTATGTTTATTGTATAAGATATGCCTTATATAGACAGCATTTAAGAATGCACTATTAGGGAAGTAAATTATTTGGTCACATGATCAGGATGTCCGGAAACTTGTATGACTAGGAATAGATAAGGCTATCGTTACTTAACACATTTGAGCAGAGAACAGAGAATAGACGAGGTTTGTCTTGCTTTTTTTTAATTCCTTGGATTTTTCATAATTTAACACGTATTTAATGCATTATAATATAGACCTTTCGTCTATTGTAACAGGAAGTGTGAAGGTATCGTTATATTCGTTTGCATATATTAATATTCATACTTTTATTTTAAGAGTTCTAAAGTTATTTGGATTTTGTTATAAATTAGTCCCCAAAGAAACACACTTTTAAACGAATTGAATATTTTTAGTATATATTCATTCTTAGATATATAGGAAGCCTTCATAAAGTTGTAGCTGCATGATGTGTGTTATACAGAGACTTGGCTATTAGGGAGGAAGGTGGTGGGAACGGTGGGTGTGTGTGTATGTGGGGGGTAGTATAAAAGTAGGGGAAGGGGAGTCTGTTCTTACAATAGTTACTTATTTTGAATAAGCTATGCAAACGGGAAGGATATTAAAAAGGCGTTGACACAATTATTTAACTTCCTGTTTGATTTAATACGAAGACGATTCGTGAGACCAATAGAGATACAAGGCAAGTGAGAACAAGTACGCAATTGAATCAGAATGCGATATTGTTAGTGTTAGTGTCATATCGACATTTTCACGTTCAAGTTAGGAATTCTATTCAGTGTCAAGGTATAATTTATATTGGAGCAGCACGATACGATTTATTGCTATTTATTTAAGATAGTTCTGTGCATTTTTTATAACAATCCTTTCTAGACATTGTTTTGAACATACAAATTTATTTTCAGATCAAATATGGGGCTGTATACAGCGTTTCGTACAAATGGAGCTCCGACATTCTACGAACCAAATAAAACACCATTTAAAGCTGATCTTGTGGAATCAGGATTAATTTTCTGTATTGTGATATTACTTGTGTCGTTTTTGGCCATCTTGCCCGGTATAAGAGGAAAAGAGGTATACATATAGCCTGTTTTATTGAAAAGCTATATTATATAATAATGAATGATTTCAGGTTAAATTCTGTCAATACTTATACCTCAAGAGTTCACGTTTCCAAAGAATGCATTGTATAAAAATCGTTGAAATTTTGTTTTATTGCGAACCATAACATAAATCCGGCGTTTAATGGATTAGAGGGTATATAGTATCCCCCATATTACAATTATTACAATTTTTCGATATTTTTTCCAGAAATTATTTACATTTATTCGTTTGATGGTTAGTTTATATATTGGATCAGTCATACTGTGTAAGTATTGCTGTTTTTTAGGGGTTTGATTTTATATATTAGTCTAAATAATATAATACGTTAATACACCATTTATTACAATAATCAAAATTCTCCTTTAAAATAATATTTTCTGATTTATAATTTTTAAAGTATGCTGTTATTCCATTTCAGTGACCAATTTTGCTCAAACTTGGGAAGTAGCCAGTGTCCATACAGAAACAAAATATAAAGCTGGTACAGGGAAAGAGATTACTGCTGATATTACGGTGGATATTGGACTAAGAGGAATCAACATTACTTTGAAAGGTTTGCACATGACAACCTTTTTGATAAGTTTTTAGCAAAGTATGTAAATACAATGGTGTGAAACTACTTGCTGAACGCTGAAAGCCAGATGGGTTGCCGTTGGCATTGAACTTGTACTTCTGCAATATATAATAGTATTATATCTGTGTATCACAAGTTAGCTACTGCACGAGCGTGTTTGAAAACCGAGAATTTTCTGTTTAAGAAACACTGAGTATGTATATATATATATATGCTATGCTATCCTATTGGGAAATCCTTTTAACACAAGTTTTTTCCTGCCAGGTGTACCAGAACAGCAACTGAATGAAACCATAAATTACAACGAACATTTCAGTTGGAGATGGAGGCAGGGACGATTGGGATTTGGTCCATTCGGTAAATATAAGCCCCGAGTTCTATTTTAGATAAGCTTTGTCAATTTCAATTATTTGAAATATTTTTACAGGCTTGCTCATACACGTTTATTTATGTGCCCTGTGGTGGTCTTTTATATCTATTCGACTGTATTTCAGCTGGTAGATTCAGTCAGGAGTATAGAGCGGCCCAGTTTCGTGGATTACCACTACCTATTTTATGGATTGCTGAATATTTTACTTTTGATGGTGAAGGTATTCGTTGGGGAAGACATTATAGACAAGCAGGATGGTACAGTCATATAGCCTTATGGTAAATAGTCGTAAATATTTAAATTGTAATTCTATGTTTTGGTTTGGCAAATCTACATACATATTTATGACAAAAAAAAATACCTTTAGCCTTGATTGTCATCTGAAAGGCTCAAAGGTAACATAGTACTTATGATGAAAATTGAATATATTTCAGGTTGGCTTTCCCCATGTGGATATTGGCTAATGTGTTGTTCTTTGTATTGTTACGATATGGTGCCTATTTCCTGGGAATGACCGGCATGTGTATGATAGGATCGAATATCATCTGGGCTTCCATTAGAAACTTCAATGATCCGCTGATAATACCATTCACAGACCAAAACAAATTAGTTTTTACATTTGGCCCTTCGTATTGGGTTTGCTTAATCACGGGTAAGATGGAATATAAATTGTAAAACTTTTAAATAGTATGAATTTTAAAATTGTAAATCGTAACAGATTTGAAACTAAACTAAAATTTTAAGTCATTGGACTCAGTTCGTGGTTTCAATTAGAATTATACTACCAAATTTTTATTTATTTTTTAGGTATAATCTGTGTTATTTTAGCAATAATAATATTCATACTGGACTTAAGATTTCCTGCAGCAATTGCTACATTCTTTAATGTTGATGTTCTTCAAGATTCGGAGGATATTCAGGTGGAAGGTTAGATTCAATTTTGTATATATTCTAAAGGCGTTTTGTTATGTGTATTTATCAATTTGTAGTTAACTTAACAATATAATTTAAAGTGTCCATCAAAGTCCAAATTGTTGGAAACTCTGACCAAAAACAACATGAAGATACTGTATTTGTTTATTCTATTTAAGATGATGATCAAGTTATTGAAGATAAAAAAGCGGAAAGTGATGATGAAAACGAGGCAGGACCTTCAACTGAAAAACGAAACAATGGAGCAACGTCAGAACCGCGACCTGAATCTGCTGTCGATGAAGAAATTTACGAAGTTCAAGTAGGTTTTCTTTTTTGGTTAAAATTGTTTCTATACAATTTAGGTATTACCCACACGTACAAAATAATAGGCTTCCTATAGACTGTTTCCTTGTTGCTGGCGACTTCCTGTGGTAAGATTTCTTAAAGATATTTTAACGTTTCTTTGACATGACACTGCATGGGAATCTCTTTGCCAGTTTCAGTTAATCTTTGAGCAGATAGCTAGGAAATTAATTTAAAGTTCTGTTTTTAAAAATCCTTCTCCAATAGCCTATATCATTTGTTTTTTTTTTAATTATCTCAGATGCCGAAACAAACCAAGAGAAGTGAAAGAAGATTCACTCAGAAATTCCAGAAGAAACGACGGCACGGAAATCGTCCACCACCACCGCCAACACCAGCAGTTGATGAAGAAGACTATGAGAATGCTGATCACATTAGGTAAGCTATCGTCCTGGATCTCTTCATAGTTATTTGTCCTGTCTTTTCCATAATTTTCATACTGGCCCAGTTGAATGTATAGATGTTTTTTGATACAGGTAACTACCATTTTTCGAGCACAGTTTGCACACCAGCTTCTGCTATAAATAATACGTGTATCATAATGCATGCAATAAGTGTCTCTTAACTGTATAATGCATTCTTATGTCACCGACTTACATTCTACATTTAAATTATTTATATTTCTGTCTTTTCAGAAATCTACGTGATATACAGCTGAATCCCATGTAAACTTCCTTTTGTCTTCACTGTATATTTCACTTATGTACTTTCATTTATACTAATAAACTTAGCCATCATCAGCATAGCCTAATTATTATGACAAATGAATACATAAGCTAAAGTTACCGTAACACTTTCACAATTTTGTATCCAATCATTAGATATTGTAAATTTATATTTCAGTTTGTAAATTACATATGAAATAGAAGAAAATGTAAATAAAGATATATCACATCAAACCAAGGTGATCTAAATCCCTTCCCAATTTGCTAAGCTTTTTTACATCTATTATTCACATATAGGATTAAAGATGAAACGAAATTCAGTTCTATAACTCCAGTGCACTACAAGGCAAATTATTAGCGATTTAAAAATTTGCTTTACCAGAACCCCCCAAGCTGAAAAAGCACAGCTTATCTATCTTTAAATCACTCATTGAAAATGAACTTAAAACCATTTGTGATAGGAACATCTATGAAACCAAAGTGTTTTTCAAAAGCAAAGGATATTAATCAATTACTAGCAAATTGCTGACCATCGTATGTCTTTTGTGTAAAATTTTACCAAAGGAGCACTTTTCTGACCAACTAGACAAGATAAATTCTGGCAGTTTTCAAGTAATTTTTGCATCTTTTTCTGAATAATATAGGCTAAAATTCACCTATCAATTTGCAAATTTTAGTTTACTAGATTCTATAGGCCTACGCGCGTATAAATAGTGATAATTAGGACCTAAATCAAAATTGTTCCATAGAGCTTCTCATCGGAAAACTTTGAACAACTAGATGACCTTGCATGGACTCGGTGCCATTTCGATAGGATGTCAGATTATCATCCATAAGGTTTTGTGTTACTGGTAATATAGAAACCTCTCCAGTGCGCATGTGCATAGAGATCATTCCCGGTTGAGAGGGCAATACGAACGAATATTGGTTATACAAATAGAATGTATGGATGAAGAGACAAGAGGCAAGATTTTCCTGATCTGACAATTTAGACAGTGACATGTAGATGTGCTTTGTTACAATACGGTATCTGTGAGTCGATTCCTTTTTGTTGGTTAAACGCAGAATGATGGAAAACATGGCTAGTATGAGATTTGCGAGTGGCTTTTTTTCCTATTAAAGGGAAGCAACTCCGTTTTTTTATCATATCAGACTACAATTGTATAATGATTAATTCATGCTGTGCTTCCCTTGAAAAATACATTTTAAACATAAAGTGCAGAAATTCTGGTCGTATCAGAAAAATTATTTGTGTTCCACAGTCATACCTGTAACCTAATTGGTTTGATTGATTGATGCTGGTTATGATATGAATGAATAAATTGGATTAACTGATGATCTTCGAACGGTATTTACCTTGACTGCAATATCCACCTTTTATGGAAGTTTGTAAATGATGCAATTTGATCAGATTCTACATCAGTGAATACAGTTAATTAGAGACAGAGGCCTTGACAGAGAGTCTGTGAACACAAAGCCATAATGTTTACAGCCTTTGTGTTGATAGATCTGATTTTGCTGGCATACAATCGAATCAAATCGCTGCATTCCGTAGTAAAAGAAAGGTGGCTTTTGATGCTTTTGCAGTCAAGGTATAAGTACGAAGTTGGTAACACCTTGATATTGTGAAGATGAGGTCCTGTGTGCTACAGTTTGTGAATGATACAGGTCCTTTCAAAAAAAAATAAATAAATACACTACATGGTGGCAAGTGCTGAAGGCATTTTAGACTAGTCTGCTTGGCTAATCTACTGGAAGTGGCATTGTACTCTCATAGTTTATTTCTTACCTGAAAGTAATCATAGTATTAAATATAGTTAATGAAATATGAAATATAACATTGACATTGTAATTTTTTCCATTATTTAAATGATAAATCAATACATTCGTTAGTTATAATGTTGAAATGTTAGATGAAGTGTTTAAAACATTAATATGAGGCAAGTTTGTAGGTAAACGTTCCAGTTTATCTTATTGATGACTTACTTCTGCTTTCATTGTTATAATGACATCAATTCCTTTAGAATGTTTCTGTTGTCAATTCTTCTTGGTATTTTGTTTAAAAATATACATATACCTATACTTAAACTATTGATTAATGGCCAGTAGATTAAGATTATCATTTTGAAATTCCAGTTGACTTATTGACCCTTTGATGTATTGAAACTTTTAGTTTAGTTAGAAAATATTATAACTCAGTTTGACACATTGAAACTTCAGTTTGACATGTTGAAACCTCAGTTTGACATGTTCAAACCTCAGTTTGACATGTTGAAAACTCAGTTGAACATGTTGAAAACTCAGTTTGACATTTTGAAACCTCAGTTTGACAAGTTTAAACCTCAGTTTGACAAGTTTAAACTCCAGACACTGTTTGTGAAGTATTGAAACATAATTTGCAGTCAGAGATCAAAACCAGTTGATTCCTTATAAGTTTGAGCCAAATACATGTAACCTTTAGGTTGTTTAATGCTTTTCTGTTGTAAAAATTTGCTGAATAAGTAAACTAGTCAAAAGAATAATGTTACATAAAGCAGCTATGTAGGTTGGTTACTTTAATATTGATTTGATCTATATTATGAAATATATTTTGTGTTGATAATAAAATAAGGTTAGTTCCGATATTGATATTGTTTGTGTCTTATCATTCTTGTCTAATCATTGTTGATTGATTCAAGTAGTCTGAACATAGATTTTTTATCATTATAATTATTATTCAATGTCCTTTATCATCATTGAACTCTCTTCAGTATAATAACCTTGACAGCATTTTACTGCACATTGGAAATGTCAAGTGTGATACAAGTAATTAAAAGTTATTATGATTGCCATTGTTAATTATTTTGTGGTTTAAATAATATTTCTTATTGTTATATTATTATGACTAAATATCAATTAAATATGAATTATATAATGTAATGAATGTCAATGTCAATTGATGACAATTTCGTTACAATGATAGTTTTGAATTCTATACACAATACCATGACTGACCATAAATATGATTGTTTACTGTATTATAACATTTTCCAAGTACTTCTACTAAAGAACTGGATTCCAAATGCTTTTGTAGGTTGATATAATCTGAATACAAGAATTATTCATAAGTACGCCAAAGAGATAACTTTTAATAATTTTACTAATGTGGGGACACATCTTTAGAGATGCTGGTGATAAACCTTGTTTTTATATGCCCACATGGAATTGTGGACATATAGTACCACTGCCCCTGTTCATCCGTCTGCCCATATTTCTTGTAGATATGAAAGAGACTACAGATTTTATCTGATCTTGATGAAGTTCGAAATTGACATGATAGGTTTTATCTTATCTTGATGAAACTTGGTATGCTTGTATATATTGATGAGATCACGGTCAAGTTTGAAATGGACAAAATTGGATAAACGGTTTCATGGGTATTGCCATTTTGTGTATGTCATGGTTGAATTTGATGATAATTTGATCAACTGTTTTGAAAATTCATTATTAAAGGGACAGGTGCGTCATTTTGGGAGGTTGATTGTAATCTTGAATATATGTAAAAAGTCTTCAGAAGTACTAGAATTGTGTGAAAATCACATAATTCCTTTAAAACGTCTTCAAAATAAGAATTTTACTCCCTTTTCCTATGTACGTCTTTCTATATATCATAGAGTATCTTGATGAGTTGTCATTTTAACATTTTATTTTAACATTTTAATCTGGACACAAGTATTTGAAAGTTCAATTTTC